ATATAAATAAATATATAAATGATTTTTAAATACTTAATTTTAAAAAATTTTAAAAATAACAATTATTTTAAGAGAGAGAAATTATATAAAAGAAAAACACAAAAAGGAACAAAATTATACAAATTGTTAGGGGTGAGCACATTTTAGATATTATTAAATTATTTAAATTTTTTAGTTGAATTTTCAAATTTTGGAGTGGATATTTTGAATATTTTAATAAATCCAAATGAAACCAAAATGACTAAAATTAACTTTAGTTCGGATATGGATATCGATTCATACTTGAAATTGTTGATATTAACCATTAAATTATTAAAAATTATTTGAAAATTTTTAATATAAATTTATTTTATTTTTTTATTTTGGTTTTGTGCTATATGAAATTTTGTTTAGACAATATTTTTTAGTCAAAATTATAGATAGGAATATAAAAAAAGACTAAAAATAATTAAAATTAAAAAAATTTAATGATGAAAAGTGAAGAATAATAATATTTTTTGGTTATTTTAGTTAATTAACTAAATTCTTTAAATAATTTCAAAATAGCAAAATCATAACTAAATTAAAAATTTAGTTCGAAATAAGTATAAAAATTTTATGCAAAATTATTTTAAATCGAATGCCCCTGCAAATTGTTATGTTCAGGGTTATCCGCAACGGTCTTTAAACCAACTAACCAAGTGTTAAATTTTTATAACCCAATCCAAACTTCAGATAATTTCCAATTTGGATTTACCAAAAGGAAAAAAAATAAAAAAATAAAAAGACAATTTCCAATTTGGGTTTTGGTTTACCCATTTTTTTTATTTTTTTTTCTTTGGGTTTTTGGGCTTAATGATTTTTTGGGTGTTTGGGCTCACTGATAATATTATTCCCCAATCCAAGCTACAAACCCGGGTTTCACCGTAAAACGAGCACTTTTTTCGTAAAGGAGCTAACTTCACCACTGCAATGGGAAAGGCTAGAGCTTGAACTATTTGCCTCGATCGAATTCAGCGATCCACTCTGTTTCTTCTTCTTCTCCTCTCGTCGAATTGATCACAGACCCTCCAGAGGAAAATGAGTGTAAGCTAATTTATCCAAGAATTTTCAATCCTTTTTATCTGTTTTTTGATCTAATTCAAGAATTTCTTCACTTAGGTCTGAATATTTTTCTCTTTTCTTACATGGCAGTATATGGATTCAAAATGTCCCAGCATGGCCTAGTTGGGTCTGAATCTGATTCACAGAGAACCCTGTAAGTTTTCTGCCTCAATCTTACTGTTGGTTTGTGGTTATATGTGTAAGAGAACTAGGGCCTGTTGTTGTCGTTGTTTGGTATTCTCCTTTTAAATTTTTTGTGGGTTTTGGAAATTTTGGATAGATACCCATATGTGACCGTGACATCAGTGGTGGCTTTGAAGTACAAAGATGGGATTCTGATGGCTGCTGATATGGGAGGTCAGTGTTCGCATATTCATTAATCTCCCTAGTGTTTTGTTTTTCCTTTGGCTGTACTAGTATGTAATTGGAGGAGTAGAAATTTGGATCTTTTATGATGGTTGTTCATTTCAAAGATGGAATCTTAACTTTACATCCTAGTTGGTCTCTTCAGTTCGATTGTAATGTTTTTGAGATTATCACTTTTTTCTTTCAATATTCAATCATTTGTTGAGTGCCATCTAAATCTTGTTACTGTTTGTTTTGACCTTGCTGATTATAAGCTCTGTGGATTTAGCATCCCAAGTTGTGTGAAAATGCCACCGTAGTTCAAGTTGTGTGAATAAGCTTGCTAATAATTGCTAGTTTTTATTCCTTAATCAGTTTTTACTAGGAGATATAATGTCAAAGAACAATGATTGAGGTGATGCTTAATTGTCATTATGTCCCTAAATAACCAGTCTAGGTTTTATATTGGAAGATAGAATGTGCTTATGTTGTATGTCTCTAATGTGTTCATCAAGCAAAGAAGTTGAGACTAGCAGGTTGAGAAAAACAATCTTTTCTTTATCGACTCAGCCAGCTGCAACCTCAACTCGAGCTCCAACAGTTGGCACTTGCGTGGTTCAAGCTGTGAGGCCACCTACTGAGCTCATCAGGAAAAGAGTTGAGGATGAGTCTGCAGCTCAGAAGAGGCGCAGGTTGGAGGAGCAGCAACAGCAGGAGGCTCCTCAGTTTGTACCTCGTCCTCCCCCGGTGGTTGTTGATCTTGCTGTTAGGGAGGTTGGTGTTGTTAACACATGCGAGGGGAAAAAGCTCCACAACTGGAGTCCGGTATCCAGAGGGTTATAGCTTCGCAACCTCTTCCAGCAGAACAGCTGCAAGGCATTTCATTGAAGCCACATTTCCCGAAATGGATCTAATTCGGGCAAGGGACGAGGTAGATCTCCATGGAGGAGATGGGGTAGTTCGCCACATCCTTGAGGTAAGGAATTCATGGGTATAAGTTTTTAACTTCAGCTTTTTCTCTTCTTTTTTTTTTCTTTTTTCTTTTTTTTAACTTTGGTAATTTATGTAGGGAGTCAATCTTGTTAATGCTTTGGCAAACAACCACCTGGACTCCCTAAAGGAAAGAAATAAATTAGTGAAAGAGAAGGAGGAGCTCAGCAAGCAGAAGGAGGATGCTAACAAAAATGTGGAGAGCTTAACCTCGGAGTTGGATAAGCTCCGAGATGAAGTGGCCATGCTGAAGAAGGCTCTGCCAAGCTCGCAGATCAAAAGAGAAAAGCTTGTGAAGAAAATCTTTCCAAGAGGGACAGGCAAATTGCCAAGATGAGGAAGAAAGTTGAAGAACTGCAACGAGATGTTGAGTTGCGGATCCATAATTCCATGGAGATTCACATTTCCGAGTTTGTCAAGTCTAGCATGTTTTCCAATATAGTGGACCTCTATCGCCTTCCTACTATGGTGTTGGCCTTTAGCAATTGTAGAAAAAAGGTGAAGGCACAGTATCCCAAGGTGGATGTTACCAACATCACATTCGGACCTCAGGAGGTGAGGGTGGAGGAAAATGGCGAGAGCTTGCTTGCTGATTTCCGGCCTGAGGTGACACTCAAATGGGATCGAGATGAGAATGGCCGCACCATTTTCCCACCAAGCTTCGACTGCAAGTTCATCCCTATTGACGAGGGTGAAGTTTAGGTTGTTTGGGGTCTCAAAGTGGGAAGCAACGTGCAAAATAACAAGTGGATTAACAGCATCAGCTTATTGAATAAGTTCATCTTAGTTAGATGTTTTTGACTCATTTGTATTTTGGATAGTGAAAATTTATATAAAATTTGAACTTGATATTTTGGTTCATGTTTTTGTTTACTGATTTAACTTGTTTTATTGATATTTTAGTTATTAATGCATAGGTAAGATTGACTGTTCGCGGTGTGGTTTGGTTTGAATTTTAATATTTTTTAAATTAATTTAATTTAATTAGTTAATAAAATTTTTAAACTAATTTAATCCATTATCATATGATAATCAAATCAAATCAATTTAAATTGGATTGATGTGGT